CGACGCCAATTTCGGTTGCCCAGCTCCGCATGCAGGTAGCGCAGGTGGTTTGTTGGCCGCCGCCTCAGCATCAATGGCCCTTTGGCTGACGTCGGAGAAGACAAGGCAGAGCTCCATGAGGGATCAGGGTTGAAACATGTGGCCATGGGTTGCATAAGCTATGGCGATCCCATTTTGGGGTGGATGAACATCCATTTGCCACCTATTTTGATGCTGTGGTATGCGGGGAATGCCAGACGGCTTGATTTAAGCATGTTTCAATGTGGGGCCTTCCTAGTTTTCCGGTAGCCACCAGTCCGGTCGCCCAGGACGTGGAACGATTATTGCTGGTGTCCTTTTGGTCCCACCTGTCAGGCTGGGATAAAAAGACAAACCCATATGGCCGTGGGTCAACACCAATGGTCCATTGTGGGGTAGGTGCATGCACCACCCATTTTAGTCTATTTTAGCAGGAATTGGGATGTCCCATAGCCATTTTGAGTTGAGCTCCTCACCCGTCGGGGCGCAAACATGGAACTTTGAGAGGAGCTGATGTGTTGTGCTTTTGGAAGCAGCTTTCCTTCTCCCAAGAGCCTCTCTGCCAGTCCTCATATCAACCGCTGCAAGGAACCACCTGACTGAGGCAATTTGCAGATTGCCTGGGGTGCATCGTCAGTGCTTCAAGGGGGAGATGAAGCGAGGGGAAAGAAAAGGGCGGCGCAGCGAGTGGCCACAAGAGTGAGTGGTGACAATCCCCAGAATTAGCATCTGCTTTTTTTGTTTGCCTCTTTGGGGTGTTTTCCACTAGCCGGTCCCATTTTGTTGTTTGCCTCTCTGGGGTGTTTTCCACGTACCCGGCAAAAAGTCTAGCTTCTTGCTGGGGACCTAGTTCCAGTCAAGATAGGTGGTCAACTGTGACATGTGTTTCAACTAAAGGCTAGGTCCCCCAGTAGCGCCCTTTTACCTTTTTTGGGGGGGAGGGTTCCCCTAGTAAAATAGACTACAGAAAAAACGGTACCCTTATTCTAACTTCTCTACTGGAGGACCTAGAAGGCCATGGTTGGCTGCCACCGGGCGGCCATACGTTGGTTTTTGTTGACCATTAGCAACTTCGAGGGGTGGATGGCGCATAAGTTGACCAGGGCCAAAAAAAGCAGCGCTGCATGTGGTGTTGGCGCTGCATCCATTTCAGGACAGGAAAAAATCTATCCATTCATCATGCAAGTGCCTTAATGTTGACCCTGGATGAACAAGTCATCATACCAGTGCTTTAATGTTGACCCTGGATGAACAATCTCGTCGTATTTCTTGGGTGTGTCCAAAATTGAACTTCATCCCCACTAGAAGGGGACACACCCTACTGTGGATGGAAGAAACCATCGTTTGTTGGTATTTACACAGGAATCCTCATTCCAGGGCTTCTTAGGTGCAGGATTTCGTCCATCAACACTTGATCCAAAGTCTGCATGTCCCTTGCAACTGAATCTGTAGGCCCGCGCCGTTTCAACCTCGGGCCTTTCCGAAAAATATCCTGAGGGAGAGGCTGATGTGGATTTGTTTTGAGGTTACTTCATTTATTGTTCTCTTGTTTTTCTTTTTGTTGGTTGGGGGGGGTCGGTCAAAGGAAGGTTCACGACTTTGGGAGACGTCTGTCGTTTTTTGAGGATACCGTTTATTGGGTGGTTTTCAAGGGAAGCCACAAGGAAAACCACAATTTGTTGGGGGGTCAAACTGTAAAAAGACACACCCAGCAAGGACATTTGACCTTGAACCTTACCAACCAGCCCAAGTGATGGCCTGGTCTCGCTTTGCGCGCCCCTCACTTTCAAGAAGCGCATGCGATGCGCGCGCCGGGGCTGATCCTCGGCTTCTTCCCATAGCAACGGCAGGGGCACGATTTGGGCAAAACCTGGACATACTGGATGGACGAAATCCATTTGACACCACCAAAGAACACCCTGACGTGCAAGGGTTTCAGCCATGGTTTCGAAGTGGTGCAAACAGATTTCGGCCATCCACAGTAGGGAAGACCCACCATTTGGGGGGGTCTGTTGTTGAAAACGCCCAATAGCCCGCCGGCAGCGCATTCTGAGGGTGCTCAGTCAGACAGCAGCCGCAGAACTCCGGCAGCTTAGGGTTGGCATTCACTCGAGGGCTGTCTGGTTGGAACGGATTCAACCTCGGCCGAGATGCACCACCCCTGTTCATCAACCAGAGCTTTCTAGATCCTTGGCCAGAGGTATGCGCCAAGTTCGAACATGGATACCAGCTGGGACAAAGGCCGCACAGAAGCTTGGTAGCGTCTAGGTGCTCAGTTGTTCAGTGGCTCCCTTTTTTTTTTTTTGGGGTGGCTGCCCCACTAACATGGTCTTCCCAAAAAAGGGTTCCTTTTTTTTCCAGGGTCACTGAACAACTGAGGGTGTGATCACTCTCCCATTGTCATCCAACTCCGAGTGGCCAAAACCGGAGGTCAACCTCAGCCTTAGGGCAGCCCGCTGCATGAAAAAGCGCGCCATGGCCAATGTCAGGCTGGGAGAGGGGGCTGGGAAGCTGGCCCTTCAGTGCTTCTTGCGGGTGTTTGCTTCCATTTGCTTAAGTTGTTTTTTGTTTTTTTTATTCCCCCTGTTGGTTTTAAAGGGAATCTATGACTACTGGAAATATATATGTTTTATACATTTTTTCCAGGGGGCGAAAAAGCAAATGGAAGTTTGGCATTGCCCTAAGAGCAGCCGCCACCTTGGGCTGAAGGTTGGAATTCGCGGGATCGCAGCAAAGTAGAATGAAACCATCTTAACTGCTATTGGGTTGGATCTTTAGACTTTAACTTTTTGGGAAATGAAGGGTTTTCCACTAAACCCCACAAAAGGTAAACTTTTACAGGAGGGGGGTCAACAGCAACCAAGCCATTCCAAGAAGAGCTGCAGCTTGCTTCTTGATGATAGTGCCGGCCAAACAAATTATGGTGAACGTAACTCATCGACGCGCCGCAGGCGTGCGGAATGCATGACGTGCGTAGTGAATGCTCTGGGGTTTGTTTGGCATCTTTCTGATCCCAGGCATTGACAGGCAGCAATGCCCACCGAGACGGAGACATTGTCTCATTAATGCTCCAAAAGCACATTGCCAGATGGGGAATATCTGAGAGATTGGCTAGATGTCCGAATTGCACGGCCCCTTCAACTTGCAAAGGCATAAGGATCAAACTCGACGGGATTGCCCTGTGTTGAACAGGGGCGCCCAACACATGACTAGCCGAGCAGCTTTGCCAAACCAGAAGGAGTGCTGCTTCATATGAAGAAGGGGCAGCTAGAGAAACACCAACGTGTCTGTTTCTCGCTGCACTGTGTTTCCTTGAACCCCCTCCCCTCAACTGCGTGGGGTTCCGGCAGTTTGCGGACGACGCACACCTGTCAAAAATCTGCGGGCCCTGCAAGCCCTCAGCAACGAAACGAAAGCCGATGGACTGGCCACAAGTAGCCCACTCTACGCGCACAGGATGCCACAGGGGTCCTCTAGGTCGAAGGCCGAAGGCGCATTCCAGAAGCATTTGTGATGCAAAACATGGAGCCCAAAACACCCGGATTTTATTTTGAGGGACCCACATTTTTGTTGGGTCCATGTTGATTTGTAGCCAAACTGCCGTTCACCATCTCACCCAGAACATCCCATCATTGAACCGTGTTTCTGGTTTTCTTTCGGGGCGCGCAGGATTGGTGGTCAGCTATGGCAAGGCCATCCGCGATTGCAAGGACTGGCGCCGTGCGCTTGGTCTCCTGGAGACTTGGCCCACGCGGGAAGCGGCGTTTTTTCTTCTTCTGGAGATATTTGGCGGCTTGGGAAGCAAACAGTTGAACCCCCCGCGCCGGTTGCTTGATTTGACTTAGGCATGTGGGCTGAAAGTGGAGGAGATAGATGTGATTGTATGAAACAAGCTCGAATGTTGGTAAAGTGGTCATAGCCCACGCACCAACACGACATAGGTATATATTGAATTATGTGTGCATCGTGTAGTTTTAATATATATGGACTCACGTAGCGGGTTTCAAGAGTAAAGCACTTGTCTGCCGCAGCCACGTCAGCTTAAGGTTTGGCGTAGGTGGATGGGGGAGCAGCCGTGCCCACTGTGTGAAGGTCGGTACGGGACCTTCCGGTGGTGCACGGTGTGTAGCTCCTTGGAGCAGCTCCGGTTCGCTGTCCTCCGTGGTTTTGAGCGGGAGGACAGCGAGGAGCTTGGGAGAAGGATCAGGGACTTCTCCTCGACCCTCCTGTCTTGGGGCGCTCGGCTCCAGAGACAGCGGGAGGGTCGCACTCTCGCCCAGGTCAAGGCCGGTGGTGCTGGACCTGTGGTGCCCGCGGGGCTAGGGGCTCTCAGGCCGGCTGAGCCCGCTGGCCCCCCTCCGACAGGAGGGGATCGGGAGGGGGCGCCCTCGGCGTCCTCTCCTGCTACTACCTCCAAGGCAGCCCCGGAGGTCCCAAGGGCTTCCCGCACGCCGGAGAGGCGGAGGAGGAAGGAAAGCAAGAGGAGCCGCAGCTCCAGGAGGAGGAGAGGCCCCTGCGGAATTGCCTGTGGAGGTTCCGGAGTTGGCTGCCGGTAGGAGGGAGGCCAACGAGGTGTCCCTCACTGAGTCGGAGGAGGAGGATAGCCCTGAGGCGGCCGCCTCTCTTGAGGATAGCCCGGAGGCGGTTGCCCCTCCTGTTCCTGAGGAGTCGGGAGTTGGCAGTGCCTGGGTTGGGCCCATTCGCGCAGTTAGGAGACCCCGGGCGGTGGTCCCTTGGAAAGGAGGGAAGAACAAAGGCAAGAACAAGCGTGAGAGGCAGGCCCTATTTCGGGGCCGTTGAAGGAGGCTGGAGCAATGCCTCCTAAGGTTTTGAGGAGGCCCGCAGCAGGTTTGCCGCTGGTGAGGCGCCCTGCTGGGATTTTGAGGAGACCGGCTGCTGCTGTGATAGAACATGGGGAGAACCCTCCTAGGCGCCGTCGCCGTGTGGGAGGAGGAGATGAACTGGTGCTGGCCGAGCTCGATATGGTCAGCTTGGGAAAGTTGCAGAGGATCTGGCTGGATCCATGCGTTTACTGGATGGAAGAAACTTCGGTGGTGGGAGTTGTCAAGGGTGCCCGCATTGAGGGGTCCGAGGTTTATTTGGACCTCTTGGTGGAGGGGACCCGATCCGGAAGACTCTTGGAGTATGTCTCAGGCACTCCTGAAGGGCGCATCAAGCTGCATGTGTGCCCGCGGGAGTGCGAGCAGGAGCTCTGCGAGGATGGCCTGGTACATGGTCGTGTGTTTCGCGAAGTTCCGGGTGTGCCCTCTGAGGCGTGGATGTCAAATGCGTGCCGGGTGGAGCCCGATGAGAATCGTGCTCTTCGTGAAGAAGCTGAGAAGCTAAGAAATGCAGGAGTTGCGGGAGCTCTTGCCCCTGATGAGAACTCCTATGAGCCCGAGGCGGGGGACTTGGAGGCGGATCAGAAGAAGAGGAAGGAGGCTAAGGAGAAAAGAGGAAAGAAAAAGAGGAATAAGGTGGTGCTTGAAAGTAAGAAGGCGTTGAAGGATGTGGTGGGGTCCACGGGATTGGACCCGGACCCTGTGGTGAGGAAGATCGTGTTGAGGCGTGCATCCAGGACAGTGAGGAAGAAAAGGAAAAGGTCAGATGATAGCTCGGGGAGGGCCTCATCATCTTCGATGTCGGAGGAGGAGCCCGAGGAGCTGTTCGGATGCAGCACGAGGCCCGAAGAGGTGGGCCGCCGCTTCCCCGGCGTGTTGGCGGCTGAAGGAATCAGGGAGATGCGAGCCAGTCTCCTGAAGAACACGGGGCAGTTGTGGGATTTGGAGGATGGCCCGCTCCCTCCTCTGAGCACCATGTACTTCAGGCAGACCTTGATGTCGAGGATGGCACCTCCGATGGCTCGAGAGACGCACACCCTGTGCTACGGGCTGGACCTCCTGTTGCAAGGCCGGGCTGCAGAGCTAGGCGACCTTTTGGTGCAAAGGATCAAGAGCCTGGAAGGCGTTGCTGCTGGCCTTCATTACTCGGTGATGCAGAAGATGGAGCTCCTGCCCATGGATGCATCCCGTGTGGCGCGCTATACCGAGGTGCATGATGCGGCTAAGGTGGCACGAGATGAGGCCCGAGCTTTGTCTGCTGGCTCCCGGGCACAAGGGAGAGGAGGTTCAGATTCAGGTTGGGTGCCGTATGGGCCGCGAGGCAGAGATGAGAAAGGTGGCGGAAAAGGAAAAGGCGAGAAGGGGAAAGATAAGGGTCGTGCAAAAGATTGGCCCAAGAAGAAGGAGGAGAAGAATTGATGAAGAGGAGGCATTCGAGAGGGCTCCGAGGTGGAGTTTTCTCCTGGGGGAGCCGGGGAGGCGGTCGACCGTGAAGGTCCCCCTCCTGGGCGCCCTCTGGCCGTGCAAGAGCGGCTGAACGCTATCAAGCTGAGGCTCCCAGGGTTAACCTTAGGCGAGGCCGGTGGATGCTTGGTGGATTTGCTAGATTTGTTCAATGTTGGAATGTTGCACTGCAAGTCCCAGCCCATGGAAGGGAAATCCGTATTTCCTCTTCCCCTAGCAATCCTATCCGAGCTTTCACCCGCCAAGCATGCGCTGCTGTCCGCAGTGTGCCGGAGTCTCAACTCCCTTGCGGGATGCACAGACCCGCAAGGCCGGTCCTCGCACGCTGGACGCATGGCCGTGAAACAACTCGCGGCTGCCGTTGAGGTTTGTGAGAGTTGGAGTGAGGTTTTTCAAGATGTGAACTTCTCGGACTTCCTGAAAGTCAAAGGCATTGACTACAAGGGGGATGAGGTGAAACTTGCTGTCAACCTTAGTTGGGAGTGCCTTGCCCCTGCTCTCCCGGATGAAGTAGGGAAACTCAAGTTGGCTGAGCTTTGCACCCTTGGAACCCGCTTTTACGTGGACCATTTCGAGGACTTCTTGGTCCCTTCAAATGAGATGAGTCTAGGCAAGCCTCCCCGAGTTTTTGCCGATGCCAAAGAGTGGCCTTCTATTTGCCAAGGCTTGGTGGGTAAGGGGATCTGCGAGGTGGTGCCTTTGGATGAGCTGTTCCACATACAAGGTCAACCCCTCCTGAATGGCATGTTCGGAGTTGGAAAAGGCGAGTTTGTGAACGGGAAGGAGACACTCCGGTTGATCATGAACTTGATCCCTTTGAACAGAAACTGCCGAGGTATTTCCGGTGACGTTGGAACGTTGCCCCAAATTTCGGGGATGTCCGCCTTCGTGTTGGAGGGGTCTGAAGTGGCCCTCCTGTCGTCTGAAGACATCAGATGCTTTTTCTATCTCTTCCAGGTTCCCCCTGCGTGGAAAAGATTCCTGGGGTTTAACAAGCTTGTCCCCGAGGACCTCGTTCCCTCCTCCCTCACTGGGAGGAAGTGCGTCCTGGCCGCCAAGGTCCTCCCTATGGGGTTCCTTAACAGTGTTAGCATCGCCCAGCATGTGCACCGTAACGTGATTAGGAGCGTGGACCCCCTCCTTTTGACGGGAGATCAAGAGATCCGGAAAGACAAGAGTTTCCCCGCGAGCTCACACCTTTTTAGGATCTACCTCGACAACTTCGATTTCATCCAGAGAGTGGACTCCCAGTTGGCCGTCAGGCTGGAGGGGAGGGAGAGCCCGGAACAGAAGGCTGTCAGGAAGGCCTACGAGTCGGCCTGCCTGCCTCGGCATCCCAAGAAGAGTGTGGTTAGTGCTGAAAGGGCAGAGGTGCAAGGTGCGGTCGTCAGGGGCCACGAAGGGGTGGCTTATCCCCGCCCGGAAAAAGTACTGAAGTACATGGGGCTGGCGGTGGAGCTGATTGTGTGGGGCCGAGCTGGCCTCAAACATTTGCAAGTGGTCGCCGGAGGACTGGTATACATTGCTATGTTCAGGCGCCCGCTGTTCTGTGCCCTCAATTGCGTGTGGCGTCACATTGAGGTTCTAAAGCAGGGAGGTGGCAAGCCCCAGCTTCTACCTCCTGCCGTGGTGGCCGAGCTGGTACGGTTCTTGTGTTTGGTCCCTCTAGCACAACTGGACTTCCGGGGTGAGCTGGTAGGAGATGTCACTGCCAGTGATGCGTCCACCACTGGTGGAGGCATCTGCGTCACAAAAGGCCTCACGAGTTATGGGGTTCATGCCTCCCAGGCCAGTATCCGGGGGGAGTGGCCTGAACCCCATGACATGTGTCAGGTGTTGACGGTAGGCCTTTTTGATGGCCTTGGTGCTCTTCGCCTGGCCTGCGATGCGCTTGGCTTGCCTATGTGTGGGCACATTTCTGTTGAATCACGTGCCCCGGCCCGCAGGGTTGTCGAAAGCTTCTTCCCAGGAACCGTGATGTGGGATGATGTACGCACCGTAACTGAGGAAGTCGTTCTGCAGTGGTCCACCCAGTTCTCCTCGGCAGGAGTAGTGCTCATAGGAGCCGGACCCCCTTGCCAGGGGGTCTCCGGGCTCAACGCTGACAAGAAGGGTGCTTTGAAAGATGCACGAAGCTGCCTCTTTGCGGAGGTGCCCCGGATTACCGCGCTGATCCGCAAATGTTTCCCATGGTGCCAGGTGAAGTTCCTCATGGAAAGTGTTGCATCCATGGATGACCGTGACAGGCATCACATGAGTGAGGCCATAGGTTTTGGGCCCTGGCATGTGGACAGTGGTCAGGTCAGTCCTTGCCGGCGTCCTAGGCTGTACTGGGTCGATTGGGAGCTGGGTGGTGGAGAAGGAGTTTTAAAGCCGCAACCGCCCGGGGCTCCTGGCAAAGATGTCGGCCTGGTGAGCTTAAGCGCTACTGTGGACTGGAAAGATTTTTTGAAGGGGGGTTGGAAGCCGCCTCCGAGTGGAGTGTTTCCCACCTTCACCACTAGCCGGCCTTCCCCCGCGCCTGGCCGCAAGCCTGCTGGGCTGGGAACATGCCAGCCACATGAGCGGTCCCGGTGGGAAGCTGACCGTCACCGCTTCCCGCCGTACCAGTATAAGGACAAGTTCTGTGTGTGGAACAAGCAGGGCGACATGCGGCCTCCTGACATCGAAGAGCGGGAGGTGGCCATGGGGTTCCCGTTGGGATACACCAAGGCCTGCATGCCCAAGTCGCAACATGGCAACATCCAGTTCGAAGATTGCCGGCTTAGTCTAGTGGGCAATTCTTGGAACCTCTTCGTGATCACCTGGCTAGTATACTGGCTGTTCTTCCCGTTGGGACTGTGTGCACCGCGGTCTTTGCAGGACATCGTGAAGAGCCTCGCGCCCGGATGGTCTCCTACTTTCCAGGGAGTACTACTGCGGCCCCCTTTGAGGGCTGTCAGGGGCACCAAGGTTGACTCATCATTGAAACTCGTGAAGAAGTTCCTGGGAGTCATTTCTATAAAAGGAGAGGATCTCCTTCTTCAGGCTTCTACCGATGTCCATGTCCGGTTCCACAGGTTGCGAGCATCTATCCCCAGCAGATTGTGGCGGTGGAGAACTGTGGCCGGATGGACTTGGAAATCACATACGGACCACATCAACGTTTTGGAATTGCGCGCCATCCTGAGCACCGTCAAGTGGCGCCTCGAGCAACGTGGACAGATGCACAAGCGATGGATCCATCTCACTGACTCTCTGGTTTGCCTGCACAGCCTTTGTCGTGGCCGCACGTCGAGCCGCAAACTTCGTAGAACCCTCACCCGAATCAATTGCTTACTCCTCGCGACACGCTCCCAGCCCCTATGGGGGTATGTGCACACGCACCAGAATCCGGCCGACAGGCCAAGCAGGAGAGGTGTCCGTCGCAAATGGTTAAAGCAATGAAGCACGTTGAAGGGAGGTCGCAACGGGAGCGAGCGAAGATTCGGAAAGATTTGGGTTCACTCAAAAGTTTAACTGTGCAGCCAGCCACGCGTACCAGATATGAGAAAGCTCGGACGCGTTTTTTGAAACATTTGCGAGATGGAGGGATCGCAATTCCAAAGCAGAAACTTTTAATGGATGAGTTGGTCTCCGATTATATCGAGACTCTGTGGTCCCAGGGAGAAGGCAGGGCTTTGGCTTCAGATACCTTAGCCGGACTGCAAGATTTGGACCCCAGCCTCCGCCACCAAATGCCCCAAGCATGGCGCCTCATGAAGGCCTGGAACAGCAATGAGATACCAAACAGAGCTCCCCCGTTCCCGGAGAGCCTTTTAAAGGCCATGGTGGGCCGATGCTTGTTCCAGGAAAACCACGGAATGGCTCTTTCTCTGCTTGTGGGATTTTATGGCTTGCTACGCACTGGAGAGTTGCTTAGCATTCAAGCTCGTCACGTTTCCGTGAGTGCGGATCACAAAACCGCGGTTGTTTCGCTGGGGTGGACAAAGGGAGGCAAACGTCAGGGAGCTGCCGAAAGCTGCACAATCACCGTATGGGATGTGGTGCGGCGTCTTGAACAGTGGGTGCTTTCAGTGCCCAGCGGCTCCTATATGTGTGCCTCCCCGTCTACCTGGCGGAAGACTTTTAATCAGCTCCTGGCTGACGTTCGAGTGACTGAGTTTGAGTTTCGGCCATATAGCCTGCGCAGGGGTGGCGCAACTTTTTGGTTCCAACGTCATGGCCAGTTTGACAGGTTGTTGGTCCAAGGCAGGTGGCAGGCAGCGAAGACTGCCCGCATTTACCTGAACGAAGGGCTGGCAATGTTAGCCGAGATGAGATTCTCTCAATCCCAACTGAGTGCTTGGGTTCGCTTATACCAAAACGCACTTAGAAGTGCGCTGCCGAGGCTCGAGCGAGCGTCGAGACGCAGTACAGGGGGACGTGGAAAGAGGTCGAAAAGAGGGAAAAAGGGGTGGTGGCTAGGCTGTTCCGGAGTTTCTTTTTCAGACGGCCTCAAAATGGCACCTGAGCGCCCTAGTTTCTTCCGGCTTGGCGGAAGAGCTAGGGGGGGTGCGGGGGGGGATTTCCTCTTTCTTCGGCTTGGCGGGAAAGGGAAATCCTGAGGCCCCCAGTTTGACAAGAAACGGGCAAGGGGCCCAGGGCTAGTTAGCCACCACAAAGAGGACGTAACTTTTTATTTATGACAAAGTTGGACTTGCTGTGCGCAGAAAAAGTGCTGCTTACTCTTTATATATATATATATATTCCCGTTATGGCTGCCAGGGCGACAACGTATGGAGGGAAGGGCCCCGCGTTTCTCCCAGTGGGGGTAGCTATACAACATGTCTTAGACCTGTTGCGAGGCAGGACAGACCCTGCAGTTTGTGCCATGGCCAGAACACAAGCAATTGCACGGCACGTAGGTCACAAGCGTGTGAAGGAAGTCCGACCAGGTCACTTTCGGGGTGTCCAAATCCTTCCGCGTCACCTTAAATATGCGCGTGGCCTGATTCGCAGCACCTACCCTAGTACGACCACAAGGCAATAGAGTTGCGGCGGCGCTCATGAGCCAAGTAACCTGTCTTTTTGCAGGGCCTGTTCCGCGAATCCGCGATGCAGCGGCCAAGGTATGAACAACTGGCCCGAAAAAAGAGATTGGCGCGTCTTCCGCCAGGCCAAGCACATACACCCTTTTCCACCTGCTGGCACAGCAAATGCTGAAGGGGGGGTTGATCAAAGGTCCTTTACACCGTGACCATGAGGGAAGTGCCATGAGAAGTCACCAAAGAGGAAGTTCACCGCTAAAGGGGAAAAGCTGCCCATGGTCATTGGGTCATCTTGGGGCCAGGGATGTTGATCAACCCCCAAGTATGGCATCAATTATAGGGGCAAAAAGCCAAAATGGGTTGCCCTACATGGAAAGGACCACAACCTGCGATCCTAGGTCCCCCAGTAGTGCCCTTTTACCAACTTTTTTGGGGAGGGTTCCCCTTCTGAAATAGACTCCAGAAAAGAAATCGGGTACCAACTTGTTCTAAGCTCTCTACTGGAGGACCTAGGCGTTGTCCAAAGCGAACCTTTGAATCTTTTGGCTTCCTCCTTTTGGTCCACTTTTAGATAAAGGTCCCAACGGGCGATCACCGTGTACCCTGAGGGGCAACTTTCCAGAGAGTTTCTTAACCCAGGTCATCTTGACCCATGGCCCATCGCATCTCAGGAAGAGATGCGGCGAAGAGGCCTGGAGCCCAACTCGGTGACCTGCACGGCGGCCGCCAAGTCCTGCGAACGTGCCGTGGCCCATGGCTGGGTTAAACGGCGTGCTGCATGAAATGGAACGCATCGGGGCCATTTGGTCATGGTTCAAAGCCAACGGGATCCCATTTTGGGGGGGGGGTGCGCCACCCAGTTTGGTCAATTTCAGTGGGGATTGGGATGTAGGGGGCATGGCCATTTGGTTTCCTTCCCCCCCAAAAAGAGTACGTTCCAAAAAAGGCACGCGCCCATATCTCCACCTGAAAGGTATGAAACATTATCATTTGGGCTGACAAGTGTGTTTCCTTCTGGTGTGATGGCCGGAGGGGAACCCTGTTTGAGGTGAATTTGATTGGCTTCAGATCGGTTCCAGTCGTTTCCCAGTGCCATCTGTTTTTCCAAAAATACATCTAGGTTGAATGATGCCGAGCCTTCGCCCCAAGCGCTCAGCTGCCAGATTGCGTGGGTGGGTGGGCGGGTGGCGGGAACTTGATGATCCGCTTGGAGCCAGTTCTCAAAAAATCAGGTAAAACCAGCTCAAACCGCAACATGAGCTGAATCCAGACCCACCCCCCAAGAACTCCGCAGCCAGCCGCACCCCAATGAACAAACCCAAGGCCCATCTAGAACCACCCCAGGTGCACAAATCACCTCAACCAAGCACATTCAGACCAGACCTCAAACACAATATCCAGCGCCTTCTCCTTGTTTTTCTTGTCTTTACTTTTGTCGTTGTTGGTTGCTTTCTCGTCCTTTGTCTCTTTCTCCTTCTCCTCCTTCTCTTTCTCAATGTATGTGTATCTTTATCAATCTCTTTATCCTTCTCTTTCGCATCATCTTTCTCATTATAATTATCTTTCTCTATCTCACTATCTTTCTTAAATATATTTCTTGTTTGGTTTTTAACATATATGTTTGTTGTTCTCTTTCTCTTTGTCTTCTTATTTGTGGTCTTTATGATTATCTTTTCTGTCTATGTCTTATTTACAAATAATAACATGTTGTTTAAAAACAAAAAGCTATTATCTTTTTCTTGCTCTCATGATGTTCTCATTTTTTTCTCTTGGTGTTGTCTCTTTATCTTGCTCTTTCACTTGCTCTTTCTCTGTATCTTTCTCTTTGTCTTTCTCTTTTTCTTTCTCTTTATTTTTCTCTCTCCTTCTCTCGCTCATTGTATTTTTCTGTTTCTTTCTCTATTTCTTTATATGTCTGTTTTGTTCGCTTTCTGTTTATTGTTTGTCCTGTGTCTCTTTCTCATTCTCGTTCTCTGTCTCTGTCTCATTATCTTTCTTATTATGTGCTTTCTTTGCTTTCTGTTCGCTCTCTTTCTCGTTTTCTCTTTCTTGTTCTCTTGCCTTTTCTCTTTCTCTTTCTTTTTCCCTTTCTCTTTTTCATTCTCTTTCGTAGTCTCTTATCTGTCCTTTTCCCTTTCTCATTATCATTGTCTTTCTTTGTTCTTTCTCATTCTCTTTCTTTTGCTCTTCCTCTTTCTCTCTCTTTCTCTCTCACCCTCTCTGTCTCTCTCTCTCTCCCTCTCTCTCTCTCTTTCTCTCCCTCTCTCTCTGTCTCAAGTCCGCGGAAGCAAGAAAGGCATGCAACCAAAACTTTGTTAGGGTCGACCCAACGCAAGCTGAACAAAGGAAACAATCACAATATTTTGCAGCGAGACCCACCCAAAGTGGAAGAGGGTTCCGCGAGCGAAGTGAAATCGTGCTCGACCCCTCGGACGTCCGCAGAGGGTTGCTTGTTAAACAAAACACGTGTGTTTGATGGTTGACCCACTAAAGTTCGCAGAGGGTTCACTTTTTTGAAGGCTGCAAAGCAGTGCGTGGGGCCGTGTCACGCCGAACTGCTCCGCACCCTCTCCGAGCCCGCTCTTTATACCGCCGTTGCAATTCACGCACAGGGCCACGTTTTCGGACCGCTTCTATTCCCAAGTTCCTTGCGCTTTCCAGCTTCTGGCAACGTTTTCACGCGCAGTGCACCTAGTGTGAAACACCACGCGCAAGCGCACGCATTCTTAGAGAGAGAGGGAGAGATATCTCAGCGAGTTTCAGTACTACAACAGTTCCTTCTACACTTTCTTTGGTTAGCTTCACAAATCGGCCTTAAAAAGGCCCATGACCTTGGACCTAGTTTCCAGCTATTGATCATTGCCCCGCGGTTGTTCTGTGGCAAACCCTTTGAAGCAGGATGGCCGAACTGGGAAGGCCCTGTTGAACCTGAGAATGGGATGCTAGTTTGCCGGCTGGAGCTTGAGCAGCCGCAGGCTCCAGGCTTTCAGCTGCGACTCTGCCAGGTTTACGCGTGGAGCCACACGTGTTCGCCACACGAGGTGGCCCCAAAAACTAGGCTACCTTTTCCTTTGTCACCCCTCAAGCAATTCCGGCAAGGGTACGATCAGGGCACATGCGCTACTTTCCGTTGAGTTTCAAGTTGCCAAACTTTGAAAATTATTGTTGCCAAGTGTGATTGTTTCAGAGGTTGGCCAGACAGTTGTTCAATTTCTTCTACTACTTGCTGGGTCCGGATGTTGGGCATGAACCTAGGGATCCCCTTGCAGGAAACCATACTGTGGATGAACGAAATCCTGCACTGCCTAAGAACTGCCTGGAATGATGCTTCTCCTGTAAATGCCAACTTAAGCACCGGTTTAATCCATGGTTCTTAACTGGTGCGAGGTGGATGTTTCGTCCATCCACAGCTTACCTCTTAAAACCACAACTTTTCAACTCTTTGGGTAGCATGGGCTATATGCCTGTAAAAGATCAACTTCCCCAGGGCGCAGGGAGTTTTAAGGGCTAAGACAGGGGATTTTTTTTTTCGGGGGGTCCTTCCATTTCCTTCAGTCCCATCGAATCCCCAGCCCCGGTTTAGGCGCCCTCCGCTGGGCGCACGCGCTGGCCCTGGACGCCTCGGATGCCTTCGGCGCCGCCGTGCGGCAGCGCGCCTGGAGCGCGGG